ATATTATATGTTGGTACATAGGCAATATATTAGTGTCCTGAGAATCTTTAGTAATTTCGATTCAAGTTCCATATGCAAATTACCATGCTATCACACAAAGGGTCATAAAACTCCCCAGTATCTCAAAACTCCCACTTGGGATACCGGCCTTTCTCATTGGACAAGCCCATCTTGAGAGGCGGGGATCTTCTCCGACCTTAAAGGCCCACACCAGGGACCCTCCCAGAGTCGGTGGTTTGTTTGAATTCTGAAAAGATGTGAGGCTGTTTTCAACATCATAATAATAAATGTTTTTTGAGTAGCAAATCAGAATATTAGAATGATTTCTAAAGGATCATGTGACTGAAGTAATGATGCTAAAAATTCAGCTTGGAAATCACAGGAATAAATCACATTTTAAAATATTTTCAAATAGAAAACAGTTATTTTAAATAGTAAAAATATTTCAAAATGTTACTGTTTTTGCTGTATTTTGGATCAAATAACTGCAGGCTTGGTGAGCAGAAGAGAATTCTTTAAAAAAACATTAAAAATCTTACTGTTCAGAAACTTTTGACTGGTAGTGTATGTCAGCCTATAGTTTGATATAAGGTAAACATTAATTTATTTGTGCTGCTTTTTTTTCTTAAATATTATATAGTTTTATAGGAGGAGGTTTCATAAACTTGGAAAATTAATTTTTCAGAAGTTTGTAGGTACAGACATCTGGTTGTGGTTGTTCTTGGCAATTTTTATGAGGCTTTTTGTTTTATAGTGTTCATATAGATATCGGAATTATATCGTATCGACCGAAATTAAGAAATATATTGTGATATACATTTTGGCCATATCGTCCAGCCCTACTCTTTCCATACAGCGACTGTTTATAGTGATTATGCGCTGTCATTGAAATCACTGTCATTGAAGGCCAAACGGGTAACGGGTGTGTAATAATTGAATGTGACATGCTATTTTGGAAGTTGGAGTTTGAGTTAGATGTGACTAGGGTCTGTCTCTCACACAATAGCTTGTTCTCACATATAGCTTCAGCATGAAATTTAGCATAATATGGACTATTATTTTATTAACAATTTTATAACAATTTTTCTGGGATTCTGCAAAAAAAAAAAAAAAAAACAGCATACATGTTTGGAACAATATGAATGGTAAAAAAATTATGACAGCATTTTCATTTTTAGGTGAGCTAATCTATTAAAACAAGCTTTCGGTCAGACACCAGAATTCATCTTCTCGAAATACACAAGTAGTGGTCAACCGATATATCGGCCTTCAAATATCGGCATCGGACGATAAGTTTTTCTGTTTGGCCGATGCGTTTGAGGACTTTTATTTTGACGGCACAGTGCTCACATTCTCCCTCTTGTTTGCCGTCGTTGTTAACAGTTCTGTCTAATACGGATAGAAGTCTGTCTAACGTGTCACGTGACCGTGTAATCGCAGCCTCTGCGATTGAAAAATCGCGTTATTTCATATCGCGATATTATCGCAAATGCAATTAATCGTTCAGCCCTACTTTGAATGGTTAATTTCACAAATCTTGCATACTTAGTCGAATCCAGTTGTGAGATCTTGTGAAGTGTGCAGGTGCAATATCGGTCGACCACTATACACAAGCACTGATTTGAAGAGTACTTTGTTCCACTGAAAAGGGAGCAAATCCCTTGCACTCCACAGACAAATAAAGCATTTATGGACATGTGATGTAAGCAATTATTATCTGAGAGAGAGGAAAAGCATCTCTCTGTGTGGCTGATACCAACAGTACTGCCAAGTGGGCTTTGACTTATTCATTATTACAACATTCTTTGCATGTACAAAGCCTAAGTGTTTGCTCACTAAAATTATTTTCGGAAACACTTGTCTGTTAACTAACACCTGAAGTTGTCCATCCAGACTTTACCGGTATAATAGGTGTTATAAGTGACAGCCAATCAGCAGGCTCGATCACAAGAATGTGATTATTAAAAAGGCCTACTGGACTAAAACGAGGAACATGTGAAGCATGCAGAACAGAAAGTTCAGTATCGATGAACATCCACCACAAACAGCCCACATAATCACTTCATCCTGATTTAATGGAGGTAGTAAATTAACAACCACTGTGTATCAAAGCACACAGTGACCTTTGCTGCGTATAAATCACAGCTTCCATTGTGCTGCCAGATCTCCCTTTCAACCAATTTGTCACAGCATAATACCACACAAAACCCTTCCATGCTGAGGAAGCTACTGTTGTGGGAGGATCAAAGGTCCCTATGACCAATCTTCGCTCTAAGCTGCGCGCGCGGCCGCACACTTCTTCCACCGCAGCCGCGCAGAAGAAATAATGTGCCATGCACACGCATAAATGAGTTGTGAAAGCCATTGGCGAAAGCGAATGAATTGGAATGCTCGGGTAAACCGCTATAGAGTTGATATCGCTATAGAGTTGATATCGCTATAGAGTTGATATCGCTATAGAGTTAGAACCGGTGAATGCGGTTTGCAGGTTTCATAGAAAGAGAATGATGTGCGCCAAATGAGTCGCTGTAGAAACCGAATATTTTAATGGTTGCAGACGAAATGGCTCAAATCGAGAGCCAGCACAAACGCAATGACATGTGAAATAAAACGTCATCATGTATTAAAGAAGAGTGGCTTGATTAAGTGCTGGAAATAGCGGATGATGGGCACAGAACGGTAACAAAACTCAGAGACATTTACAGTCACACACAGGAGTATTGTGCAAACTGTACTTCATAGGGATGTTTAGATAACTATAGAAGAATTCATGTTCACGTTTTTTTAGAATGTTTTTGCTCAGGTGGCTGAAATGTCCGCCCAATAGAGAAAAGTTTGGCTCAGCAAGAACAAAAAATTAGAGGGAACATTGCCTATGACTGCCTCAGAAATAACAGCTAAAACAAAAGCCTACAAGTGCTGAGTGAAACAGCTATACAGTCATATGACAACATCTGTACAGGTATAAATCACGCCATGGTCAGTAAAAGAAGGCCATAAAACTCTTTATGTTTTTACTGAACATATATGTGGTCCAAGTTTGCTGTGAAAAGAAAGGTTTGTATCTGCAAAGGGGCTGTGTGCATCAACTTTTTTAAATCAACATTAAGATTTTAGGTCACAATTTATAATAATCTGTAAGGGATGAGTGTATAGGAGTCCTGTAACCGTTCACCATTTAAATCACCATTTTAAACATCCCTAGGGCTGCACAAATAACCAAAATAAAACCAAAATCGTGATATGGCTTTTCAAAAATAACGCATTTTTCCATTCCACTGTGCTACTTTTACATTGTTTTTCTATGTAAATACATGCTAGATGGATGCATTTGTCCATTGCACTAGTCTTGTGTCATTTACAGTTCTCGCACATGAAAGTTCAAATGTGTTTCGAAAGCTTGCTTTCTTCCCCCCATTCCACTGCACGTGTCTTGCTCTTTTCAAATCAAAAACATGTTCTGTGTGAATGACCCCTTAGTGTAATTATCAAATCACAAAGGCTATAATTTAATTAAATATATGTGCTGCATGTTTCAGAGTGAAGCGCAGCACTGTGTTCATTTGCGATCAGCTCATGATCTGGTGTTTTCAGTGTCTCAGAGCGACTCACAGCAAATGCTACTCCCGGCAAACTCATCTCTGCATCTACTCTGAGTTTAAGTCAAATATAACATCCATCTCCCAACCTTTTTTATGATAAGAGCCCATAAATTAAATTAGTAACAAAATTATAAATAAAATGATCATAATATTAACATTCTATCAAAAAAAGTAATAATAATTATCATTATTATTCTTAATATTATTATTATTATTACTATACAGACACAGACAATCACACAATTTTCGGGCCAAACTGCAGCCCTACAGACAAGCACTATAAAGCAGAAGTAAAAAAAAAAAAAAACAGCTTAAATTATTTATAAAATCATTTGCAATATGAGGTTTAAAAGAGTTTTAAACCAAGTATAACTTGTCATACTGCATGACATGTCACATTTCCTGTCATACTGCATACATTTCCGTCAAACTTTCAAAAATATGTCAACTACCCATAAATCTGCAAATCACTGCAGTAATTTAAAAGCTGAAGGACCATGATGCTAAAGATTTAGAAGCAAAAACTAATGTACAAAATAAGGATAAATGTTTATCTTCATATTTACATGTTTTTAAAAGAAGACACCAATGCAAATTTCAATCTACACAGCACAGTTATGTAGACTACATGACATAAGGGTTTAATTTCTGGACAGAAACCCAATTCAATACTGACAAGACATGCAGAGGGGGTGGGAGACAGTGAGACGTGTGTTTAAAACCTCTCAAAACAGTAAACACTTACAAATGGCTACATCATGCTTCTCAGCCACGTCATATTTACGGGTAGGAACTGCCTTTGCCACACATTCCTTGGAAAGAGCACTGGCTGAAATCCACATTCCTGAAACCCACAAAGAACTTGCTTTTCCTGGTTTATGTTTACAGAGATAAGAGCCTTGGCCCTTTCTTAACATTCACCTTTAAACCCTGCACAGCCTCATATACTTACTTTCAGATGATCAAACTTATATGCAGTATGTACAGTGATACAAAGGATGTTCAGCAATAAATACTTACATGCTTTTATCAAAGGAAAGTTTAAAAGACACCTGTGTGTGCTTTGCATTCAACTGCTTGCTGTTTGTGAGGCCCTAAAATGATACTTAAGATTTCAAGAGAAAGATTTCAACATCTTAAACAATGAGAATGACTCTCTAAAACATCAAAAGGTTTAGATCAGGTAACATTTTCTATTAATCGATTGTGACAGTTCTATTTGTAATTGCTCAGCCATTAATGCTCGACAACGACCCCTGTTGATACATTTAGAGTGGCAACCTATTAGAACAACACTGCATATTCTCCGGCTGTCAATACTATCATCAATCATTCCTGCATATGTGACAAGCATTAAAATACAGCCATTAAAAAGCACAGTCGTGAACATTAACTTACCTGTGACATCTGAGGCCGGAAGTTGATCTGCTTTAGGTCCACGGATCCAGGAGACAGATTGTGCAGCATCTGGCACAGGAGCACCCCATCTCTAAGCGCCTGGGCCAGGTCAAACACCACCGCTGAGGGCCAAACGACCCGGTGGTTGGGGGGCAAAACCTTACAGTCTATCAACCAGCGACCGCACTGTCTCCACTCCTCCATATTGACAGAAATGATGTAGAATACTGGCAAAAATAAAACTATATGTCTGGCAGCCTGGCGCACGTACCAAGATAATGCTGATGTGAAATTATCCCAGTTCCTCTTTAGTCCAAAGGGCACTAAAGTGCCTAAGGTCAATTGCGTGAGAACGATCTTCACAAGGATATACGCTTAACTTTTTTAACGAATTAAATCCAGCTGAGTACTATCCACTACAGAGCTATACAGGACTTTGTACAACGAAATAATCAAATTAGTAAGCTAAATTAAAGGAGAACTCGAAGAAATATCGAACAGTATGATGTTAAAATATGATTTAGATATGTTTCCCTTCAGAGAATAAGATGAGTTTCCTCTTCTTCATCATGGACTGACATATTTGGCTCTGTAAACGCGTCCTGTCACAGCAAAAAATGTGTCTCTCAAGACTACAATAGATATGTTCCTTAACAATAAATGCTGGAAAAGACTGCAAAGCAGCCGTTACACGCAATTTCGGACGGTTTATCAAAGTTTTACGCTTAAAATAAAGAATAAATCCATGTTTTGTAGTCTTCAGTAGAAAGCTCCTCACAAGCGCTCGCGCACCAAGGCGGGATGTGAACTAACGTTAAATAACGTCCAACTCCAAATAGAATCCGGTCCAAACTTGTTTTAAAAACTTCTTGAGGGAAATATCACAGCGTTCAGTGAAACGCACAAACTCTGGCGTATTTAACGCGAAAACTGTCGATCGTCCCGCTCCTTTCGCTTCCACAGAAAGAGAAACGCCGCGAGGTCTTGGTGCTGGACAGTCGTGCCTTGAATCGCGAAGGTTTCTCGGTTGTTTCTCAGTTCATCTCCGTGTAACGCTAGATGGTTTGAGTGTTTTGATTTCTCCGCTCGCGTGAGCCGTGAGTGCGAGCAAGCGTGAGCGCGCGCGGAGCGGGAGAATGGGCGCGCGGCGGAGAGATCGCAATCGTATCTGGGTTCCGGTCGCGCTCGTCCACGTGTGAGGAGGAGGAGAGGGTCGGTCTCACTAAAATACCAGAAAGCCTTTTTTTTGGTATTATTATTATTTAGGAAATTCTGGAGACATCACAGTAAATACGAACATGTGAGGAAAATGTCAAATGTTTTCCAATGTTTTTTACATGACGGTAAAAATGACTGGCTGACTGAACATTCAAAAATACACGGACAGTTTTGGATTAAACTGTTTAAAATATTAAATTATAATTAAATGATCTACAACTGTAATGATTTACATATTATTTTTGTTATTGCTATGTAATCCAGACTGCTTTTTATATGAATAGGTTTGATAAGATTTCCTGGGAGCCTTCAATCATGTAATATAGCCTTGATCAGCTTAATATGTGTGCCATGTAATTTATAGAGCACATGTGCAACCCAAATACACTTCCACTTTTTATTCCTGTAACATAGTAAAAATCTCACTAAAAATCTCACTCCATTTTTGCGGGGACCCTCAATTCACCTCAGTAAAAGTATTTACATAGATGAGACGTATGTTTTGCTTGTCTTGATGGAAAATTTGCTGTAGTGTGACTATTTTGTCCTGGGACCAATATGAAAACTGGTTAAAGCACATTTAGGATGAAAGATGGCTTTTTGAGACAGATGTGAGTAGCTGTCACAAGACTCAAAGCATTGATCCATCTTGGCCTCTGTAGTATTGTGTTAGTGGGGACCATATTCTAAACACAGTAGCAAAAGGTCACATGTTCCTCCCCTCAGAAAGTGTTATTATAAACCCTAAGGATGTACAGTATACATGTTTAACTGAATAAATGATTGGGACAGTATCACTTCTGTTATTCCCTATTAATCAGTATCAGCATTTTGAGTTGGTGAAATCTCCTTACAGAAACTGAAATGTATGTGACATCCATCTGGGGTTATATAACACCCAAAGGACAGAAGACTCTAACACTGTAGTTATTCTTTTTTAATAATTTTTTTGGAGGATTATTGTAATCATTTGTAACATCAAAACTAGCAATCATACCAGACATCAACTCTAGCAGAAATGGGACACTGTTACCATCTAGTGGTCAGTGGTGGTATTTCGGTGGTCATACTCACACGATGACACCTGTCATAGAAAGATTTGACTAGTTTTTACCAAATATCAGAATATCCATGAAGTTCATTACCATTCTTATGTTCTGTTCTATATTAGAACTAATCAAATGATGAGCTATGAATAAAAATATTTTTATGGTAAACTGCAGAAGGCGGCATGTCCACATAAAACAAGAGCAAAAAATTGAAAGTAAACACAAAATAAAAGGCAATTTGTCATTTATTTTATGAAAAAAAAAATGTACCCGGTGTACAAGACATTCCAGGTAGGCAAATACATCAAATGTTAGCCTCTACCAATGCCTCCGACCCAACCCTCTGGCCCGTATCGCAATAAACAAGCCTAAATCTACTCACACTGTATTCTTGATTTTGTTGTTTCCATGACTGACATTTACAGTATTACTATAAACAGCTCAAAATGTTTTTTTGTTTTTTTTTTTAAGAAAAATACAATAAATCAGCATGCATGTCAAAATAAAAAGTACAATTTTTGTTTTAAATATAAAAGGAACTTTTTCAAATCAGGGCCTAAAATGAAATTAAGTTGTATATTTATATATATAATTTATCTATATAGTCATATACTTTTTCTTTTTTTCCAGCCCATCTCTAAAATAAATCATTCTTAAGAAACCAGAAAGGACTTGATCAATATTTGTATCAGACACTCAGAAATGACTTCGGGAAGCTTTGTAGTTATGTGCAACCAAAGACTGACAGCAAAATTTGATTATTAACCTTAAAATAAGTATGTTTTGACTATGTCTATTAGTGTTTTAATTAGTCTGAAAGATACATGTCCCTCATAAATTTTAGCTTTTTCAAATTACAAAATTAAGTGTTCCTGCAATTATGTCCCAAAAGTCTTCAAAACACCTGTCCATAAACCAAATGCATCAGAAAATGAAACCAATATCAGTTCCCTTTACAATACTTACAATGGTTTTGTTTTTTTTCTTTAAAAAAGTAATTAGAGAGGACATTACAATATCTTACAAACACTTAAGAAAATAATCAAACGCATAGTTATTTTAAGAGATATCGGATAGAAAAGCAATCCACAGAAGGAATGGCTGGGAAACTTCATTAAAGCAAAATAACTTGTTTGAAACCCAACTGATTGGAACTATTCATAAGATCTATTGTAGACTTAGATTCATGAATCAATTTTGCAAGAGAGTGAGAAGAGGAAGACTCTGTGATTTAACTACCATTGTCAAAACACTTGAAATAAACTTTAAGAAATGCATCATAATTAGCATTATTATAACATGGCAGTATAGATCAAGATACAAATGACATTTACTGCTTCCAGGTGTCAACACCCACATCACCAACACTTCTAGCCTTATCTAAAGTTATCTGATGTACAAATGTCAGTCATTGGTGTGACTATTTGAAAATCTGTATATTTATTGCTGACCAAGGTGTTTAATAAGACAGGAAGTCTGCATGTGATCCAGCTTACTGATTCACATGTTCACGTCATTGTAAATCATCTGTACAAAACCACCAAATCAACTTGAGTCCCATTAAAATATTTTCCTAAACCATATATTAGCTGAAGAGTATATGATTCTGTTTTAATATTGTGCTACAGCTATAATAATAACGGCCAAATTAAATTTCGAGAGCTTTTTATGCCTAATTAAAGCAATTTGTTCCCCAGACTACCTAAATGTTGACACACAGTTTATGAGAGAATAATACAAAGAAGAAATAAATCGATAATGGCACAGTACCCAATGGGGAAAATATGAGGCCACAGCATAAACAAAATAATAATAAAAAAAACAACAATAAATACAACAGACTGGTACAGAAGTCAAATCTGGAGCAAAGAGTGTGAGCTTTCCGTTTCCCACTCTCTCTGTTGAGATGGGATGGCTTATGTTTGCAATGGTAACGTACAACATTACCAGGACACCAGGGAAGAGAATTTGAACTGTAAAGTATGCTTCAAGACTTCCTCTCCTTGCAGTTTTAAGTTTGGACATCCCTTTCAGAGTCAGTGGAAATAAAAAGCAATTTATTAGTTTGCTTTTTAGCTGTAATTTTCTTCACATTTCCAAATGAAAAAAAAAAAATCTGACATGATGCATTTTTATTGTCTCTTTTCTTTCTCTTTCTTATAAAAAGTCTCAGAGGGGAAACAACCTTGACTGCATACAATGTTTTTTAAAAAAATAAAAAAGTAAAAGTGTTCAGTCGGAGTCACTGCTATCTGAAGTGGAACCACTGGAGCTGCTGCTGCCCGAGTCTGAGGAACTACTGCTGCCACTGAGCCGAGAGGGGCCCGAGCCTCCTTTCTCTGAGACCAAAGAGAGAGAGAGACAGTTACAGAATTGTCTGCATTTACATACCAAACCAAAAACAGGAAACATTTGTGAAATGAACAAAATGCACGGTGATTAGCAATACATTTAATAAATAAAAATAAAAAAGCAATACATTTCATATGCTGATAAACCCTATCAGTTTTAAATAGAAGAAAGCAATTCAAAACATTAAGTCAGAAAGTTGACATATTTTGGTAATTACTTAAATACAGTGACAGCAGTGCAGTCTGGCATCTAGCTATGTGTGTAGGCCAAGAGTGCGCACTTACGTGGAGGTTTCCTCTGTTTCTTCTGTAAACAGGACTTGACATATCGCTCCAGCTCACGCAAAGTGGAAGGTTTGAGCGTCTCAAAATCTATTTCGATTTCGTCAGGGTTGGAATCCCGCAGTGAAGGCTCTCTGGACTGAATGATGTGGACCACCCTGCCCAACTTCTCTCCAGGCAGTCGGTTGATGTCGAGGCTCAGTTGCCGTTTTTCATCGTACGTCATGGGGAGCATCATCTCCTCATCAGACTCGTAGCCTGGCCCTCTGCCACCCTTCTTTGGTTGCCTGTGAAAGTTCCATCCATACAGCAGAAACTCTTTAGACCTTAATTGACTGTTTTAGATTCAATCCATAAAACAATCCCAGAACATCACAAAAAAAAAAAAAAGCAAACCTGTTGCCTGGTACAGTGCTGTTAGCCTTTCTGGCAGGACCCTTTTTCTGCTGGGCTGGTTTCGGTGGCTGTCCTGCAAAACACGACAAAAAAAAAAAAAAAAGCAAGCCTGTTGCCTGGTACAGTGCTGTTAGCCTTTCTGGCAGGACCCTTTTTCTGCTGGGCTGGTTTCGGTGGCTGTCCTGGCTTGCCTTTTTCCTCTGGCTTGGATTTGTTGTGCTTGTTCTCTTTCTTTTTCTTGTCTTTTTCTTTCTTCTCTTTCTTTTTCTTTGGTTTACTTACAGGGGCCTGAGAAAGAGCGGCTAACTGTTCGTGGACAGCTTTCAGCTGGGGAGAGCCAAGAAGGGGGTGTTAGTGATCTGCTCCAAGTCATCACTTATTGTACATGACATTTACATTCGATCATCAAAGAGAACTAAAGACTTCATACAGTTTGGTTTTCCAGTGCCAAAGAAACAAATGTATTCAATTATAAAACAAAACATGCAAAACAGCTGCCATTACTAAAATGCAGTAATAATAATAATAATAGTATAATAATTAAGTTAATACAATAGTAACTAGTTATATTATTTTTTATTATTATTATTTATTTATTTATTAAATACAGTATCTTCCAAAATTCTTAACACTGGACAACCAAAAATCATTCATGCCTGTTATTATCTGTGATTCCAAGAATAGAGTGCATGTCAGAATGAAACAATGAAAAGAATATCAAGAATAGGACATAAGGTTTTAGAAGCAATTCTGCCCTTTACAACTAGAAGTAAAATGGTTACATTTACATATTTTAAAAAAACTACACAAACCATTTGTGCCTAGCAATGCCTCTGCTGTTTACTAAATATGGCTCAATGAAAAACAAATCACAACCAATTAAACTGATATTGGCAATAACAGCATTACAAT